AGGAAGAGAGAGAGAGAGAGAGAGAGAGAGAGAGAGAAAGGATCATCCACCTCTTTGCAGCTAAATTTTTTTAGAACCTTAAAATAAAAAGCTTGGAAAGCTATAAGAAAGGAAGGTTTAGATCATTATGTAGCTTTATATAAAGTACTTGATCATTTGCTTTTTATAGTCCTTTCGCTAGTTACGTTCTCTCCAAGTTAGCTACAACATTTGTTGTTAACTTGTCAAAACAAGTTTTACGAACTCAACTTTGAAGCCATATTTGAGGTTCGTTTGTTTGTCTAGGCTTTTAGACCAGGAACAATGCAAATAGGTTATAATCAAATACCAAGAATTAATAAAAAATTAATCATGTAGACAAGCTAGGGGTGTTGATAACATATCACATCTACCATGCTTAATCAATGATCATTTATTTCATTATGTCAACCCTGCATTCCTCCTAATGAAAGATACGAAAATCGACACAAGTACAGTATTTTTCTTCTTTTTTTATTCACATGAAGTATCATCAATATCATCATCATCTGAGCCTTATCCCAACTATTTGGGGTCATTCATGTGCTATCAATTATCCAAAATATGCTTTTCATACAAGAGATATCCTTGAACGTAATCATGGAAGTCAGACAAACTCAGCCTACACCATGAATTACTCACCACACATCCTTATGAAGTTTCCTTTTAAAATCCAATAAATCCTAAGAAACTGGCATAGAAAAAGCCATCCATCCCCAAGAAAGAAAGTTCTCTCCCACCTACACCTCATCAACTTGGCTATAGCCCATACCATAAACCACGACCTTTATCAAGACATGGTCAAAGTTATATGCCATCCATCTCCTCCATATATCCTATGCCAAACATCATAAAATCTGATTCATAGAAATTTGACTTGGACAAAATTGAGTTGTAGTCATTGAGTCAAATCATCAAACAGGTAACGCCAATCGCATCTAAGCTACGATTTTAAAGAATACTTCTATTTAAGTTATCTAAAATCCGAACCATTAAGTATCCTCATAGTTGATCATAGACCACATCATAACTTAAAACTGACTACATATCACAAGTTTTCTCAATAATCAATAAATACAGACAAATAAAAAGGTGACTTTGCTATTCAATGAGTTTCAAAGATGCATTAGAAATAGTTAGTTATTATCATACTAGCATCTAAAGATTTTCATTTATGCATCCAAAAGTAACTGAACATTCTAATAAGATTATATAAAGTTAGAAGTTCATTGGGAGGAACCAACAGACCTCATGCCGCAAGAGAGCACTTCCAGCAATTAAGGATGCAATAATAGCATCGACTGCCCTATCTACTCCAAGATTACGGAGTGCAAACAATGCTCCATAGCGCTCATACATGCCGTTTCTTTCATTCAGAAGAACTTCCCTTAAATGCATCCACAAGAAATAATAAATGACCAAATTTACAATTCAAGAAAAATCTATAAACTGATGTTATTTCTAATTGTCCTTGTACCTTAATTGATCAATAGATGAGCTAAATGAAGCAGGTGCCGCAGGATCAACTGATAGAAAAGGTGACTTCATTTCTGTAGAGATTTCATCAATGTTATTGACACATTTCTGTTCATCAATACGTCTAAGAGCTAGCTCACATGTTTCTCGCACCTCCTGTGCAGGATCCTCAAGCAAACTTCTCTTCAGTGTAGGAATGTTACTCTCCAACCCAATAGCTCCAAGAGCTTCAGCTGCCTGTTTCATACAAAAAATATACTTTAATCTAATTGATTTGTATAAAGCCAAAAAATATTTTGCTCCCTCGGCAGTAACTGTCCATTTACTCCCTTAGGTAAAACCCCACCTAGGATTAACTTTAGGCCACCAAATTTTGGAGATATAACCTCTTTAACACATAGATTAACCTCAATAAAAAAGATTTTCTAATTGCACCCTCTAAACACTTCAAAATAAATTATGTTTCAAGATTGAAGACAAAACCATCCAATTTTTAGAGGGTGAGATCTAAGTGTTAGAAAACTCAAATTTCAAAATTTTTTTTTTGAGAATAATCCTCTAGTAATTCTTAGGTGGTTCCCAAAATTTCAGATTGGAAAAATCCTCCCAAATAGGCCATCTAACAGAGGGAGAAGAACTGAACTATGCTCCCAAGGAGCATTGTATACGAGCTCATGTATAAAAGAATTTTCATACTTAGGAAATTTAAAGATACAAACCATACTTTCAAACTCAAGTTATAAGTAACCTTCCAAAACTAAAGAAGTGGACACAAGTAGAACTAATTATAAGCTCAAGGAGATCGTAGTGAGTTAATGAATTCTTAACAGATTATTAACAATCATTGCTACACAAACTTCAGATAGAAATTACAAATTGCAATTTATGTACCTCCAAGACTCCAAGTATCAAAGACATGATAAGTCATATTCATTGTTGTTGAGATCAGAAGCAAATGGGGAGCAGGAAACGGATCGGAAGCAAGGGAATCATGAAAGCTTAGAAGATCCCCACATATGGGAGTGTTGTCCGTACAACATATATGCTAGGGATCGAGGTCCCTAAATCTAAGGGATCTCAATCCCAACCTTTTGGGGATCTTGCTCCTAACCTTCAAGAGTATATATAGTCTAGGACTATACATACTTTTTAAAGTAGGATCTCTTTGTTCATAATTAGCAAGTAATGCAACTATAATAAAAATATAGATGCATCACTGGCAGACTTGAAAATCATCATTTTGGTCATTATATTGGCCTTTAAGGCAGGGATTGAGATCCTTAATAGCGGGTATCGAGATCCCCAAATTTTAAAATCAAGATCCTTTGAAGATCCCTTTCCCAAAATGCAAACGCAAGATTTCGAAGCAGGACCGCTACCTCGGTTAGGAGATCCTAGCAACTATGGTCGTATTTGATAGGAATTGGATCTAGCGATTGACCATCTACGAGTGTTACTCAAAGGATTGAAGAGATAAATATCAGAAACCTCTACAGTTCAGAATTTGCAAGAGCCTTTGGGTAAGTAAAATTGCAAGAGCCTTCCTTCCTATAAAATGAAGATCTAAAATAAGAGAAACTAGGCATCCCAGAAAACTAAGCATAAACACTAAAAGGATCGATCAGCTAAGTTATGCAAAGTTCTACCACAAATGAGAACCTATTACCACATGTTAAGATTCACCAGTAAAAAGGAATGGTGAATGGCATCACATGCACAAAAGAGTGCAAGCTGCAATGTCAAGGGAATTCAAAAAGTGAATATGAACATTATGCAAATAATCTGCTGACTATAAGGAATTCACATACAGGTGACTCATTATTGGCTTTAATAGAGGGGTTCATGGATTCCTACATACCCTATCACAACACTAATAAGGGTATGCCTAAATGACCCTAAAAACCATAAGAAAAAGCCTCATGTCCCCCCCACAAATTTGGAGCCAAAACCTAGTCTCACCATCCATCTCCCAAGTCATAATCCCACATAACAAGTAAACACCACATCCCATACATTCCATACTTGTCAACTCTATGATATTTATCTCTCTCCTCCTATTATTTCCCCAACAATGAGCAGACCTGAGAGAATTCTCATTGCACTACTATGCGAAAGTACAGATAACATAGTTTTGCGAAAGTTTAACTTTTTAATAGAATAGAAAGAATACATTTAGCTGAAAACTAAAGAAGGCACTCCCACAAGTTGGGTGCTCAGACAAACAGAAGTAAAGGGAGAAGAAGGAAAAAGAGGGAGAGATACATATTAAAAAAGGAAAAGAAAAGAAATAAGAAAAATACAATCATTCGAGAATTATCCAAAATATAGAGACAATGCTATTGACCGGCAAACTTTCCAAAACACCTTCAGCTTCTGACTGCACTAGTGCAAGCGAAGTAACGGACATTTTGAAATTCTACCTTTGCTTGGAGTTCGGGCAGCTTAGCCGACATAGTGATATGCTTCATTTGCTTGATAGTGGGGCAAGTTGAAGAGGAAATGTGAAGTGGTGTTGGTGGGGTAAATGGGTGAAGGAATAAGATAGAGAATAAACAGAAATATAATGGTGCGAAATAAGGGCTCCGGCTATTGGTGAGAGGCTTCCAATAACGTTTTCCCCCACAATTGCCCTTCTCCTTTGATTCGTAACTATCTAGAGCAGACCCTCTAAAGCCGCCACACTGCAAATCTGACTATCGAAGAAGAAAAGCCACTAGAAATCGCTCGGTATAGTCTGAAAACGGCTACCAGTAGGTTACAACATTATGGAGAGAAGAGAGGAGAGTAAAGAACATGGAGGAATAAGATGGGGTGAGGTAGCCTTGGTTGCAGTAAGCAATCAAGGGACTGCAAGTAAGAGAAGCAAGGGGAGAGAGAGAATAGAGGAGGGGAGAAGAGAGATAGCTTATAGTTATAAAAACTAAAGAAGAGAGAAACTAGAGCCCATATGTGGACAAAAAAACTGAAGCTAGTGAGATTTTGCTGCGAGCAGCAGTCTTTGGTTAGATAATAGAGTATAGAAGATAAGATAGGGGAGAAGAGACGAGAGAGGAGAGGACGAGAAGGGGGAACAAAAGGAAAGAAAGTTCGGAGAATATTCTAAAGAAGAAAGTGCGAGAAACCAAGAGAAGGAAAAGCGAGAGAGAAGGTGGAGATTAGGTGTACATGGGTATATGGAGAACTGTGGTAGGGTTAAAGAAGAGGAGGTTTGGTTGGTTGGAGAGAGAGGGTGAAGGAGAGAGAGATAGGTTTGAGGGGGTATGGGAAGGGTTTTCCGATTGAGAAACCCAAGCCAAGGTTGAACTGTTGAGGATAGTAGAAGCCAGTCTCAACTCGAGAAATTCAACCATGGTAAACCAAGTGAGAGAAACCAAGGGTTTTTTTTTCATTTTTTACTTTTTTTTTTTTTTTTTATTCCCTCGAATACAACTTTAGAAGCAAAGCTAAACAAGAGGGGGAGGAGAAAGTAAAGAGAGAGTGGAGAGGTGAGATTGAGGAGGGCAAAGAGGAGAGAGAAGATATAAGGTAGAAAAAGACTTCAAATTTTGTAGCTTTCTGAGCTGGGTTAGCAGACTGACTGAGCTCACTTCTTATTGTTTGCTCACGAGCCTCGATTTGCACCCTCTGTGGCTAGTCGATCAGCCACCAAATTTGCCCCTCTGTAGATATAGGTGATGGACACCTGAGGAAGGGAGTTACATACAAAATCGATGTGCTCAAAAATAGCTGAGAGCCTCCAAGAAGGATGGTGCGTCAGTGTGGCCCAGCATACTGTATTAAAAGAGTCAGATTCCACTATGATGCCTTGTACTACTGGTGCAAGGTCAAGTAACCTTTTTAGGCCAACCAGAAGGGCTATTGCCTCTACGAAGCTAGAATCACGGTGACCGACGTATTCTGAGAAGGTCCAAATGGTCGAATTAGGATCCGATAATGTTCTTCTTATGCCCCAAGGGCCAGGGTTTCCTAAGGAGGAACCATCTACATTAAGCTTGAGGAAACCTATGGGAGGGGGAGACCACAATGGTCTTGGTCTGTTTGTTTGGGCTGCAAGGAACAAAAGATAATCCAAGTTATTAAGAAAATGAGATATGGGCAAATTAAAAAAGATGGGTAGGGATTTCGCCCAAAAGGTTATTAGTGTAGTTATAGAGTCAAAAACTGCCTCTATAGTTTTTTGTACCCCTCTAAAGGTCCTAGAGTTTCTTTCTAGCCAAAGACTCCAAAAGAGACTGGCCACAGCAAGGTGCCACAGTCTCCTACCATTTTTGGAGACGGGAGGTGAGAAGTAGGTTTCGAAGAACTTGGTCAAATTAGCTGGGATGACCCATTGAAGGCCAAATAGGTTAACAAGGGAAGACCAAAGGCACTGAGCCACTTCACAGTGAAGAAAAAGGTGAGGAATAGTCTCCTCTTCTTGGAGACACAGAATGCATCGATTAGGGAATGTGAAACCCCTCTTTTTTAATTGATCAAGGTGAGGGTTTTGCCATGTAAGAGAACCCAAATGAATGCCTGAACTTTGTGAGGTTAGGTAATGACCAAGTTAGGTTAATGAGGTGGTTGAGGTTGGGGTTGGGTAATAGGGAGGTGTAGCAAGAAGACACTAAAAAGGTTCCTGAGGGGGCTGGGGACCAAATCAGAGGGTCTGGTCTAGACAAAGCACTAAAGCAGCTCTCTAAGGTTTGAAAGAGGGAAATACGGGTGGAGGATTCTTGTTCACTTAGGTTTCATCTAAATATTGGTGTCCAGACGAAAGTGGAGCCAGTGAAAGATGCATAGTCGGTGATAAGAGCCGTTGGGTCGCGAGCAATAAGGAAAACAAAGGGGAAGGTTAGGGAAAGTGGAGAAGATCCTATCCAAGTATCAGTCCATAACTTAATTCTCAGACTATTGCCTAACCGTAATCGAGTTCTGGTTATGGACTCAGATCTAATGGAGGATATGCTTTTCCAAGCTCCTGAGGATCTGTGTGGAGGGGATCTAAGCAACCAATTAGTGCCGTTCATTTCATATTTTGCTTGAACAACTTCTTTCCAAAGTAGGGGGTTGGGGGGAAGAGAATTTCCACCACCACTTGCCTATTCATGATTCTAAGATTTTTAATTCCTAGACCACTGAAAACCTTTGGAGTACAGACAATATCCCAAGCCACTAAATGGATTTTCTTGGTGTCATCAACCCCAGTCCATAGAAATCTCTCATGAGTTTTTCTAATTTTTGGGATGACCGAGAAT